ACTCGTCCAAAATTACGCAGGTCGCAGATAAATTAGCAAATCAGGTACTTTTAATATGCATTGGACGACTTGGGTTTTTTGGTGCTTACGAAACAAAAGCACCCCTTGATATCAGCTACATATTATACTGTATTGAACAGTGTACAAAAATAGCTAGAATAATTAAAAAAAACGGACACGCTACATATATATTTTAGTCGCATTCCCCCTTTGTATGAATCATGACATATCTTCGTGAACGATATATTATTTTCAGATTTTCGCTTAATTTTACCACCGTGTCACATATTGCGATGCTTTTTGGTGCATCGTAAAATAAAGATTTACTAAAGTTGGTTCAGTATATAAATGGCGAGATAGAAAATTAAATAAAATGAAGGGCGAGAAATTAAAATTGTTCCACTCTAGTGAACATTAAAATTATTCAGAACTTCAACAGTGGGCTAAAAACGTTTAAAAATTCGGTATTCGCCAAAATTTGACTGAATGCTTAGGCAGTTGACGATGCATTCGATTTTGGTATTTACTCATGACAAGCCTATTAAGAACCGTAGATTTTAGTAGCATATTCAGTAGAAAATTAGTGTTTGAAAATACAGAGAAATAGAAAGTTCTGCGGGCACTTTTTGACCCAATATTACGTAAAATGCCGAAAAATAGTTACCGATAATCTTAGAAGTATATTATCTACACAGGATAGTAAGAATATGAAGCAATAATGTTTAGAAACATGCAAAATGTCAGAGAAACGACAAAACAAGTTCTGATCTCAGTTCCTCCATCGTGAATCGACAGTAAAGCCACGAAAATAAGTAGGTGCGAACCAGGCAAGTAAAGTATAAATTGAATGAAGTACATACCTAATCAGAAACTGATTTTTAAAAAAAAAAAAATGAGTACTACACATCGTAGAATATTATATAATAGTCACAAAGCCAAATACATCTATTTTCGTACTTGGAACGCAGTAATGTTCACTGAATGAATTATCAAATCGCCAAAACTTCTTCTCATGATCAATTGAAACATGATTGAATTCATTAAGGTACTCAGGGAAAAAATTCAAACAGTACAAAATTTAAGGATGTTAAAATGATTAATTTTCAAAATTTATAATCAACACTCGATACGTACAAAAATAAGTAACTCATCATATTTTATTTCCAGCATTTTATGTTGGAGTTATGACTTTCACAGAATATCGCAGCCTCTCGTTTTCGCATCATTCGGATCATAAAATAGAGAGTTTCTGACTATTGGTTTATCAAACTTAAATGAACTATAGGTAGTTCATTAAATGATATTTGACAGTAAATAAAATGACGATGTAAATTTTTAAGTTCAGGTTTTTTCTTCGGTGCGACAGATTTTCTATATGTTTCTACGAACCTTAAACTGGTAAGTATAAGAAACAATTTATACAAGGGAGAATAACTGTCTCACAATGCACTGTTTGGAGTCAAATGATGATAACTACATCCTTTTCATTTTTATATTGTGCGAAATCCATGTTTCTCAATGCATGTTCCAACTTCGTCAGCTCATTCTCAACGTTATCAGTGAAAAGTCGTAATGCTTGGTTTTTGCGTGCAATTCCTTGTTGGATGTTATGAATGTACAGGCACCACGTGATTGTAAATTGCCAGAAAATTTGTCAACTCACTTGACGAAAAATCGCAATTCGGGCAGAAAAATGCCAAATTTTAGCCAAACCTTACGTAAAAGTAAGGGTTTATTTCAGATGGATAGTACAGTAACACGCTTGAGGGTAGGTAGCAAGATATGAGAAAAGATATTCAGAGGCGCCCTCTTTTATTTTTCCTATCTCGCGGCGAAAAGGACGAGGGTCGAGGGCCCTCGATGACGAAATCAAGGAATTGGTTCTAATTGACACACACCATTGTTTCAGCACTCAACACCACCGAGTATCTAGACGAGGGCATCGAAAGAGGCCCGATTAGGCGAGGGGTTGATTTTTGAGCCATGATGGAATCCCCTTCAGCCTCATCGAATTGGATCTACTGCGATCACACTAAAGTCTGCGATTCAACAGAGCAAAAATATCAACGGAATTTTTCATACGTCACCTATAAATTATAAATATGTATAAAAATCGATTGGTGCGGTTCTGTCTTAGGTTTATTTCGATCGGCCAAGGTATATTTGAAGACAGCTCTTTCGTACGAATGGTTTTCCGGTATTTTTTTTTTAATTCAGTAAATAATATCAGCTTCCAATTCAACAAACACGTGAACAAATGTGATCTTACGGGAATTAAACGATATTTTGAATCGGTAGAGACATTGTAAGCTGGCCACAAATTCTTTATGAAGCATCTGACTGAATGAGGTAATGAGAATCATTCATTCGATCAGGATTTTATCTTTTTTATCGCAAACGTAAAAAATAGAAAATGGATTTTGAAAGAATAAGGAAATTACCTGATTTTAGAGTTTAGGAAAAGCATACATATCTCGCTCTGAGCACACTTTCATGGCATGTAATTTTTTAACTAAGCTGTTGATTTTACAATAACTTCAGAGATATTGAAAAATTGGTTGTTGGATAAAGGAACACTGCCCATTCGTAGACAGATGGAAAAATAAATTCATACTATAAATATAAAGATAGACTTAGGTTGAAAATCAAGTAGGTGCTAACGGTTACACATTTTAGCTTATTTATTTTTATTTTACTGAAACTTCAACAAAAACAGCATAGTTATAAAGTTATGGTGATTAGATTGCTTCGAGAAATGATTTGGTTTTTCGAGGACTAGCGCAACTTGCGCCATAATTTAGCAATCGGCCTTCACTGGAGGATACCTCAAAATTTACACTAAACTGTGAGTGAAGTGAGTAATGATTGAAAGATTACTGGAACAGGTTTTATTGTTGTGTATTTGTGTTTATTCAGACAGTGAGCAAGTTTCTTCTTATCGAGCATGGTTTATCAGAGGGATATGAGGGAACGTCAACTATTGTATACTTTAATCAAACTAGCCCGAGCCTTTACACTGATACATAAGACCTCCAGAGGAATTAAAAACGTTATCACTGCCAAATTTAGGATACGGGATGTTGCAATATTAATTTGATTATTTTGTCAAATTTATGCAGTGGAACACGGAAGTTAAATTTGTAACACGGATGAGCCAAAGATAATATCCAGCCCCGCAAAGTATAAATAGCCTCAAATAAATTCGGCTTGTTCTGTGATGGAAGATTTGTAGGGTTTATCGATAATTTTGGACATTTATTACAAAAATTATAGAGAGCTCATGAAGATGAATCCTTTGAATTCTTATCTATCGATCAAGTCTAAAACTGATGATAACTGAACTAATACTACTCCTTAGGGGATTCCTCAACACATTTTATTAGATACCTACATCCGCAAAACACGAAATTCATAGAATGTTGTGGCGAACTGTGATTGTACTTTATAAAGAGTTACAAGAGCATAGATTTTGCGAGGCTGATCTGATAAATCTTCAGACACGCCGAATATTTTACATTCAAATGTAGATCGAGAAATTTCGAGATCATTACTGATGGACCTATTACAAATTTAAATCGGCGAGATTTTCACGAAGATGTGGTTCTCGCTCAGACCGGGCGGCTGTTGTTGTTTTTTGTTTGGGGCACGCGGCGAAGGGGTTGACGACGGGATCCTCAAACCGGCACTTGTATGTTTCTTTGAGAAGATAGCGATGAATGTTCGGCGCATGCAGGATTTGCATACCGACGTCCGTCCAAACTTATAAAAGTATGTAAATTCGCCCCGGAGGATGCATCACTTACGCGCACACGAATTCAATCTCTGGCGAGAGGTTGAAACCTTATTTAAATTTTTATTTCGATGACAAAGTAATATTTAGACAAGACGCAAATTCTAAAGTCATTCCTCAATGCATGAGGGCACTTAGAACCGAAAATAATTAAAGAATGAAAGCTGTCGTCTTTAATATAAGGCGCAGATAAATGGCCTCTGTGAGCATTCAGGTAAATTAATTTGCTAACATTTAGGTACTTTGTTGTTTGGTAATAATTATTTTAATAGCAGCATCACTACCTATGTTTCCATTTTTACAGATACTTATATGATCAAAGCACTCGCAATTCTCTAGCTCTGATAGCAACTACGGTGAAAATGATCTGTTGACCGTTGCCAGAACATAAGTTGTATTGATTGATACCGGTAAAATTTAATCTTGAAATTGTATGATGTCAACTTTAATTTAATTAACCATTTAAAATTCATTCCTATATTTAACTAAACATGAACCAATTCATACAATTTGTGTTTTGGTAATGAGTCACTTGACGATGTATTTTATGCAGTTTGGCTGAAGAATCCGATCTTGATTTAGGAAGTAGGTTCCATTAAATATTGTCATAAAAACAATCAATATTAAAAAATCACTTAAAGTGACAGAAGTTTTTGAGGAAAGACGAATCATTTTCAAATAAATAATTTCTTTTGGACTGAGGTTCGATGTTCTACAGAAAATTCCAAGGCAAATAGACGTTAAGTGCCGATGCTGAATTACCATCTTCGGTAGACTGACTTACTGTTGAAATTTGCAAAATACGTAATTACTCCCTAAAAATACGTAAAGTAATGCTCAATAGCGTAAAAACAGCACAGTGCGTAATACCTCAAATACAAACGCGTGGGTTTTATAAGAAACGGAAAATGCGCCGCTAACAACAAAGAACCGTCCTACGATCAAATGATAAATTTCGACATTCAAATTAATGATAACCGGAATATAGGTACCCATCCAGGGATCAAAACCACACTGTAGCATGACACGTTTTGCTGATAAGTCGAAACTTATCGCAAATGAATTAGGGAGAACTCGAGACAAACGAAAACACGATAGGATGATCACTTGAAACAATTAATCAAATAAATAATTTTCTTGGATTGTGACCTATGATTGATATGAATCAAAACTGATGTAGCAATTTACAATATTCCAGAAAAAGAATTACCTGTTATCATCGCCTGAGAACACGTTCAAGAAAAGAGTGCCGTTTTCGTAGAGGCACTGAAAACCGCATCATCACACAAGAATAATTAGATCACCTCCATCAAACAGCGCACAATCGTATCCGATAAATAGAAATCTTTGTACAACAAGTGATTAAACTTCTCCAAAAAACCGAAACAATCACAGGAACACACAATTTTTGTATAAATAAAATAAATTTCCAGTAGTAATGCACACAAGAAAGCAGGAAAACGTAGAAACGGAGCACTTCAATAAAATATGATAATTTTTAATTCATCTAATAAAAGATTTCTTTGCGTAAAAAATAAAAACTAACAAATATTGCAAATGTATCTAGGAATATTAACTTCGGGATATCACACAGGAGCGTAAAAATGTTCAAAAATAAAACAAACGAAATATGCGAGGAAAAACGAGAAAACTCGCGGCTGGAGAATTTTCCGAAAAATTTGCGAGGGAATCGACAGAGTAAAGCAAGAGAAAACGGTGAGGAAACGGATAACCTCACATTGTCGATTGTTTACAGTTTCAATAATGTACTACAGGCGGAGGTTTTTGAATGACTAACCCGCACCGCGTGGATGCTCGACCGACGAGCGCGCGCTCTGGCATCGTTTAGTGGGAGTATCTAATGAATCCCCTCCACGCTTTTTTCATATTTAAACAAAGTAGGGGAAACGTTAAAAAGAAGTTAGTAAGCGAAGACATCCAGGCGCTTAAGGTTGAAGGGAAGTTGTTACGCGCCGCTCACCGCTCGGCGTTCGCTTCTCTTCTCCGCCACCGGAGGGGAGGGGGGTGGGCGGAGGGGAATTCTCCGAGAGAAAAGAAAGAAAAATTAGACGCAAAGAGGGATCGGAAAGAAAATTTGCATGCTAGATGGAGAGAACAAACAAAAAGAGAGACGGAAACTAAATCCAATACAATACGAATAAAAGTTTAAAATAGAATTGGAAGTAATTATATTTTCCCCAGTTTCTCGTTTTTCTTTTACACATACTCGCAGCTTTTTTTTTGCCCCTTCCAAGCTCCGCGAATAATCTATTCCTTTACGAACACTTTCCCCGACTTGCGCCTGCTCATTTATTTCCCAGATTTTATTTCGGCGGTCCTTTTTTTTATATTTACTTGGGGTCCGCCTCTTGGCCGCTCTGCAGCACAACCCACGGAGATGTAAGTCACTGCCAGCCTGGTGAAAAATACGGAGAAAGTTTGAAGAAGTGTCATTCAGTAAAAAAAAATAATAAATAAATAAATAAAAAAAAATAATAATAATAAAAAATTGAAATCACAGTGAAATGATTATGAGAGTAGAATTGAACTATTAGACTGCATTTTCCGACAAAGAACTAATATTTTAGGCTTTCGTCACATATAAATGAAGAACGAATAGTATTATCCCGCAGTCTTTCTCTCCATCAAAAAATTAATTCAAATAGTATAATTTTCAGTTTAAAATTCCTTTCAATATTTTCCATTATCACCTTTGAAATTAAAATCATCTGAGAAAGTCCCGTAAAACTCTCTGAGCTCCTCAATTCACAGAGAAAATACATTACAAACAAAGCGACTTGATATAAACCAATCGAAATGCCTCCGAAAGATGAACTCCGTATTTTATAACCGCGTGGAGCGTAAAACGATGAAGGAATATTTGAAGTTGGGCTCAAACCCAACATACAACTATTTGAACTCCGCGGTGGGCCGGGTTGCATACACCCGATTTTGCGGGCGAAATCTTAGATCAAGAAATCCAACTTCCTACATTCCTCCATTAATCTTCGCGGTGTTTTGCGTTGAAAGGGTGCTTCGTTACTTATGATGTTTAAAAAGGCTCAGATTTATCAAAATGCTAACTGTTAACATTCTCAGTTCATTCTCCTCAACCACAAACTGATATAGAAGAGCACGCAAAATGAAACAAATGCAAACTTGCAATTCGAATCTGGAATCTCAAAGGAATCTGTGAACAGATGATATTGAACTAGGACTCCCTACTTATTGTACTCTACACTTTTCATAATTTAGATGAAGCCCATTATATCTAGAGGAAGAGTTTTCAATACAGACACATAAAAGGAAAACGTATATTTGAAGTAAAATTTAACAATGTAATGGAGGTTGATTTCTATTATTTACAGTTCTTATTCTTAGAGATTGAAATACCGTGAATATTTCACTAGGAAATTCCGTTTGTGGTGCAACTTCTTGCATAAAATTTTCCTTCCTTTGAGATGGTAGGCAATATACACTCTCGAGAGTTTGAATATAGTGGTATCAAAATCTTCGGCCTCGTTATAACGTGATACCAGTACTTCCACCCTTCCTACTACAGTATGATAACACAAGAGAATGTACTCCAGAAATACATACATTTTGGACCTTTCTTATTACTCCTCCTCCTTCCTTTCTGCTTCCTTTTACAATAAATTTATTTTTCTTAGTGGTACAGCTTCTGGCACTCAATTTTCCTTCATTTAAGAGGGTAGGCAATATGCGCTATCAAGAGTTTGAATAATGGTATCAAATTCTTCGATCTCGTTTTAACGTGTTACCAGTTCTTTCGTCCTTCCTATCAAAGTAAACAGAGCAGAATGTACTACTGATACATGCATTTTGGACCCTCTTTCTTCCTTCTCTTCTTTCTTTTCTTCCTCTTTTAATTCAGTTTAATTTCCTTCCTCTACTCTCATCTTCCTCTTAGCCGAGTAAATTTCACCGTTTCTTTTCCGTTCCTATCTTTTCTTTCTGGCCGAACCAAAAGTCCGCGAATTCTGAAGTGTCGCGCTATACTACCGTGCTAAGGAAAAACGCCGTATGAACCCCCAGGCGTTGCCAAATTTCCTCTGATAAATTACAAATTTCTTGGGGAAATGGTGAATATTTTTCTTCCAATTTTTCCGACAATTTTGTTCGCAATTTAATCTAAAATATCTGAAAATTTCACGGAAAAAAATGCATCAATTTCGTCGTAAATACATGTTTTATTCGGGGAAATTTGGCAACTCTCGAATGTTCATACGGCGTTCTTCCTTAGCATGGCAGTATAAGACACGCATGCTGTGAAAACCAGCTATCTACCATCCTTCACGGAGCCCCAACGGTGCGAACGGAGGAGCCCCGACCTCCCGACAAAATGAGGTGATAAAAATCACGTTTTTTAATTAGCGGACTCGTCTGCAATACTTGACCCTTGACCGGTTCAGAGTCCGCGAAGCCCGGACCGGCGTATCACACATAATGTCAAAAAGCTAATTACTCGGGCAGCCGTTTATTGGCCTGTCAGTCACTCCTTGAGCTTGCGGAGACGCCACTAATTGTCCTGCCCCGAGCGGCAGGTCGTGTGCGATGCCTCCTTCAACACACTTCCGAGATCATTCGCAAAAGTGTTGAAATATGAGTACCCGCCGTGGCCGGGAAATATACTGCCGTGCTGAGGAAAAACGCCGTATGAACCTTCAGGCGTTGCCAAATTTCCTTTGATAAAATGTGAATTTCCTTATAAACTTAGGAATATTTTCCTCCCAATTTTTCAGATAATTTTGTTCGCAATTTCACCTAAAGATTCTGAAAATTTAAAGGAAAAATATTCGTAACTATCCTCAAGAATATGCATTTTATCGAAGGAAATTTGGCAACTCTCGAATGTTCTTACGGCGTTCTTTCTTAGCACGGCAGTATACCTCGGTGCACGGAGGCAAATTTCACCGGAGAGATACTTTTGTCAAATGCAACTTTTGAGCCTGATGCAAACTTTTGTTGGGGCGGAATGATGAACTGCCTCATACGAAACTTTGCGCAAAAATCACCATTGGGAAACAGGAAAAATCTGAAATTTACTCCTATTCTCACAACACACTTCGCATGGACACTTTTCAGAATTTCGAGCTTCCCGTTTCAAAAAGTGGACTATACTAATTCAAAGACATAATTCGATTCAGCGGAATCGTAGTTTCACATTTTCGAGCAGATTTACTCTGCATTTGAAAGAGAAATGCCTTGCATTTTCTTTTTTCTCATTCTCTCTCTCGGCCACTTTTTGCAGAGCAAACGGTTAAAATATTACTGAACGTAGATACATGTCATACCAAGGAAGAAACATAGAGTTAAGTAGAATATACCACGGGTCAGCTAAATTAATTATCTGGATTGCTGTTCAGCTACTGTTCTATCAATGTCATCCAGCTAAGTCGAAACGAAATACCATCATGCAGAGATAAAACAAAGTATCAGCATTCAAATGTCACCAGGCTTTCCTCGATAAAATACGAATTTTCTGTGAAACTTGTGACTGTCTCTGTTTCATATTTTTTAGAGGTTTTAGTTTGTAATTTGATCTGAAGTATTCAAAATATGTAAGGAACAGTATTTTCATAATTCCTTTTAAAAAATAATATTTTGAAGAGTAAAATTTGGCAACACCCGAATGTATATACGGCGTTTTCTACAGAGAAAGGCAGCAAAGCGGAACCGAAATGCATGCACCTTTGTGCGAGCGGATCCCGAGCCAATTGGCGGCTCCCGGGAACCGTGAAATCAGCATAATCAAAACAGACCGAGCGATTTTTGAAAATTCGGAGCGAAAATAAGTAAATCCGATACCGAGATTACCGCGGAGATGAGGATGCAAGTCCAATCACTGATGGACGTCCCTGCATAGGAGAAACAAAAGAAGGGACCTTTCCGGCGAATGAACGGCAGAAGGAGCGCGCTAATCCTCTGCCCATGGTCTCGGGCCCTGCGTTGTAAAATTTGGCCTTTTCGGGGCGTTTTTCGCGTGCAATTCGAAAAACAAAGACAGGGGATTCGCTTTCGAATTCCAACGCCGTCGGTGAGCCCAGCGCTGACAATGCATCTCAATTTTCTGGCACACTTGAGCAGAAAGGTGCCGCTACTTCGCCGTGTCCCCGATTTTGATTTTCATTCTGCGACCCCGGCCGTGGAGAGAGACCCCAAAATTGAAAAAAAAGGCTACCCCCGCCGGTTGCCAAATAGTGGTACCAAGGCGTATGAATTACCTCGACAGAGCTGCCTTTAAAACAGAGTTGCAGAAAAGCAAAATCTTGTAATTTTGGAGAGAGATGAAAGATTTTGCAAAATAGTTTTCGAAATTAAATGAAAGGCCAATGGTTTTTGCTTTTTAGCGTTTCTTAGCGCGAGCTGCATACCCAGCCCCTGAAAATATGATTAATGTTTTTCAAAACTTTGTGAAATTTCATAGAATATTTCATGGAAATTTCAAGTCTTTCATAATGTTCATTGCACTTGTGCAACCTCGTTCTAAAATTACAGAAAAGTATATGATAATAAACTCTCTGAAAATGCCAAGTTAAAATCCAGAGTGCCAGAGACAGAGTATTCAAGAGCATGCTCTCAAACAACCGGGATGATACTACTGCATGGAAAAGGCATCGACTCTCTTTTCGGGGTGAGCTCTGTTCTTAACGGTGTGGAATCGACTATTTTTTGCAGAGGTTAAGTCCGCTTTTACGGCATTGGAATTTTTGGGAGCAATTCTGGCTTATTCTTAAATATATAATAATTATTGCGGCATGGCGGATGCTTTGCTTCCCTACCTCGATAAC